GTCGATTAATATCACGTGATCTCTTCATGCCCATAATCACTGCAGATGTACACGTGTAGTCATAACAATGTCCTGGAAGGGGTCATGAACTTAATCAGTAGACAGTGTAAATCAGCCTGCAAACAGCCTTTAATGACCAGAGAATCTAAGATCCATTTTCACAAGAAAGGTGAACGCCCTGTGCAAAAGACCCATATAACTCCCAATATGACGCTACTGAGTGAGGCCCGTGATTGGATGGCGTTAGCTGATCTTAGAACACCTCTGCAATTTCCGGTACACACCATTCAGACAGATGCACGCCCTGATATTTTAGCGTTGCCTGATACAATGAAGTCTTTCCTCCAAATATCAGGTCTTCCCATAAGTTCTGTCCGAATTTTGAATAAAGAAAACAAGTGACCAAATGTTACATTTAATTACAGATTCAATCAACAATGTATTTTCCCTGATTATCTATGACTTCCTTCCATCTATTAACAAGCTTACAAATTCCATTACTGTAAAATTCTTTTGGCTTTGATTCGAAGAACTCCCAAATGTCGGTTTTAACCTCTTCCTGTGTTACAAAAGCTGTTTCTTCCAAACGATTCTGTAAGCTACAAAACAAACGGTAGTCTGAAGGAGCAAGATCGGGAGAATTAAGTGGATGAGGAATTTTCTCACAACCAAGTTCTTCGATCTTTTGTGACGTGATTCTTGCTGTGTGGGGTCGCGCATTGTCCTGATGAAACATCACCCCTTTCCGATTCACTAGAGCATGTCTTTTTTCCTCAAAGCTTGCTTCAAACGCTCTAATTGCTGACAGTATATTTGAGCATTAATTGTTGCATTAGGTGGTAAGAATTCAAAGTGGATTATTCCTTGGCGATCCCACCAGATTGAAAGAATTACATTTTGTCCATGAAGTTACATTCTCGCCTTTACGAAGCCAGTGTCTACGACGCTTAACATTTTGATAAAAGATCCATTTTCCGTCGCCAGTCACAAGTCTATCCAAAAAAGTGAAACAAGTTGGCGAGAATGGAGAGAAGAGCAGATGTCAACTCGGGATTTGAGGTTGTTTTCAGACAATTCATGAGGCACCCATTTTCCAAGTTTAGGAACTTTTCCAAGTTGTTGAAGATGAACAGTTGTATGGTTTGAACTGAGAACCACTGCCAATTCCTCAACTGATAAAGCAGGATTTTCTTCAAGGGCTGCTTCAAGAAGCTTTTCATCAAACTCAGTTGAACGTCCGGTCCGATCTTCACCTTCAATGATGAAATCTCCACCTCTGAATTTTACAAAGCATCTTCTGCAAGTTCTTTCATTCACACATTCCTCTCCATAAACTGAGTGAATGTTTCTAGCCGCTTCGGCTGCTGAGTTTCCTTACTTGAACTCATAAAGCATTATGTGCCTCAAATGATTTTTGATGCTAGCACGGTTTTAATCAAACAAATTTTAATTTTATTATTCTCTGAAATAAAATTTGATCGGTTTAAATGCATCGAAACATAAAAATAATATTCAGATCCATTAGACATTATAAAATACTCTTTAAATTTCGTTCATTTTAACAAAAAGTTAAAATTCGGACAGAACTTATGGGATCACCTGATAGAATTAACGGTGATATGGGAAGAGGACAGGGAGGTGGTGCACGAGCGAAAGAAAAACCGCGGCCCGATTGTTTGAAAAAAAGTTGGACATGTCATGTGCTACCTATTGAGGTCGGGTGTCGTGGATTCCTTCATTTTGAAGGTGGTCATCGCTGGCCTGAGTCTGAAGCCTGCTTCATGAAGTCTCCAAACCATAGCTCAACAGGTATATAATAGGATCTAGTCAAGATCCCAAATAAAAAAATTAAATTAAAATCATGCTCGCAACATGCTACTTCCAACGAGAAACCTTCCATTCTACCTCATTGTTAACGGTGGCTACGTGCGTGTTGAGTACGAGTTAACGGTCAATATCAAACGATTTTAACACAACGTTGAAAATTTGACTTGCAGTTGTAAAAACAACGCGCGTCTGCACAAAATAATACCCTGTCCGGTGGCAGAAGCTACTAGTGACGCCAAGGGTGGCAGTGACGCCAAGGGTGGCAGTGTCGCCTTAGCTACCGAAGCAGTGTTACTTCCACTGCTTGGCGGCTAACGAGGGCCAGGTATCGCACGTGCTTTTACACGTTGTATATAGAAAAAGAAGCAATCCAGTACTATTTTCTTTGTTTCAAACGAAATGTTTATGTTTCTTAATACTTTGCTTAGCTTTTTAAACATGTCTTTCGCTAGTTCAATACATGTTTGAATCTCGGTGTTGTATTTTTCTCCTTTGTTAAAACCTTTCCAAGATTAATTAAACATCTGCACTACCTTGATGTATATATTTCCAATTCGTAAATCTCAAATTGGGCTTTTTTCTTGCTGATGACTATGCATTGTCGTTTCGTTGACGTTGGAGCTAGAAATAATTGGAAAGAAGATGATGATGATGATGATGATGATGATGAAGATCTTTACGAATCTGATAAGTCATCAGAAGACACTCTGTGCTTGGAGAAGATCTTGAATATTTTTTTCCTGTAGAAATCAATTATCTTTTAAACAATATATATGCCGTATTTTCCGGCTTACAAGACACTGCGGCATCGAAGACGCACCCTAATATTGAAAGATATTTCTAAGAAAAATAAAGTCATTCTCATACAACAACATATTCACCATGCGTCCCTCATATATTGGTGACACGTATTGTTTATATTAATCAATCGTCCGATTTTCTTTATATGTTAATGACATACAAGTCCAGAGCAGAAACTCTCCGCCGCTGCTAGTAAACAGAACAGGTTTAAGCTTGTGGCTCGGCTCCAGGAAGGTTTATAGTCATGGAAATACTTGTAACAGCTAATTACTGAGGTTACATAATATAAAAGGCAGAATTAGATGGGTAGCTAAAATTATAGGATAATGACTGAACATACAAAGCAACATCCTTATCATTCAATCCAATGAGGTGATCGTCCAAGCTTACTTGAGCCTGGGAGTTGCCTTACATTCGTCTTGGAAGACGCACACTTATTTTTCAGGGTACTTTTAAGAAAAAAATTGCGTCATATAAGCCGGAAAATATGGTAAATATAAATAATATATGAATAAATATTATATAACGTATACAGATAGCTAGAGAGATAGAGAGAGTAAGAGATAGAGAGAGGGGGATAAAGAGGCTGATGATAAAGAGTGTTAGTAAGAGATCATTATAAAGCGAGAGAGAGAGAGAGAAGGAGAAAGAGCAAGTAAAAAGACAAAGAGAGTGAAAGAGAAACACAGCAATAAAGAGTAATGGAGATAGAGAGTAAAGATCACAGAACTTACTTGATTTAAAAGACAATTTTCTCTCCATTTCTCAGCACCTTTTCTTCCAGTGCATATTCGGATCTCGGTGCAACATTTTCCATCTCCTGTTAAAACGCTTGTCAAATATAATTTCTGGTTGATGCTTATACGTCCAATTAGTAACTAGCATTTTGGGCTTTTTCTCTAGCTGATGACTATTCTTACTGTCTTCTTAAAGTTGATAGTCCTTTTTTCTCGCTTTCTATGTGGCACTGTAGATGTCTATTAGTTGGTCGGCGTTGTCAGCATGGTGACCGTGGAAAAGGAAAGTTAATTACCCAGATTTATGACACCATTCCATTGGATAAGGAAGGTCCTGAAATTAGGTAAGATTTTAAAAAAATACAGTTAAGGCCCACTGGAAACAATAGAAATATTCAACATTTCGAAGAATAAGATGGAAACCTTTAGAAAGAACTCATCGACATGTGCATGAAAACAATTAAACACAAAATATAAAACAAACAATGACACTATTGAAATTGTTTCAACCGTTGTATGCTTCAGCCTTCTTCAGGTGATATTCGCTTGAATTTCGAAAAAGAACATAAAAGAGTCAGTCTATATGTTGCCGTTTCTGAAGATTGGTTCGATGACGTTTGTGCAAACGTTCTTCCTATGTTTATTTCTTGAAATGGGCTGACATAGAACCTTCACCTTCTTGGGTCGCGCAATAAAGTCATTGAGAATCTGTTCTATTACCTTCAGCCTTTGTTGTGGGAAAAACTTTGGGTAAAGAACTTGACTTTTGTCAGTCCCTCTCAGAAAAGAAATAGAAGAGGATTTTCAACAAGTAGGAAAGCAAGAAACAGTGCCGCAATAATTGTAGAGATTGTAGAGAATTACAGGTAAGGAAATGTCTGAACTCTGCAGGTATGGCATCAAAACCATATGCTTTTAAAATTTGCAGATTATTTAAAGCTAAAAGATATTCTTAGACTGTAGAAAGAATTTAGAGATAATAATGATTTACTGATGAAAGTGCTACTAATTAACATATCCCTGGGGGTAACAAAGGTGGATTCTTACCGTTTCCCAAGAGTATTTCCGTGTATATAATGAACCATGATGATATTGGAATAAGTGTCTCCGCTTGATGGCTCAAATCTTGGGCTTTTCATCTTGCTGACAGCAGTACATTTTGTCTTCTTGATCATTGAGGGATAGTCCCTTCTTCACGCTTTCTTTCTGTTATGAAGACATGTTTTTAGACGACTGCTTCGCTGCAACTGTTGTAAAAATCCAGTGAGATAAGACATCAGCGAGTCTTCATAAACCTTCTTCCACGTAGGTATTTCACGTTGCTTGACATCGCTGATCGTACAGTGTTCAAACGTGATGTAACCATAAATGACGAGAAGGAAAATTTTGAATGTAAAAATCAGCCCGGACAAGACGGATTTATGTCTGATGGACTATATCTTGCTCGGGACATGTCCATTGTTGGTATTACTGCAGTATATCTGGTGCACCTCCGAACCTAATGAGTTAGGAAACTCGAGACGTGAATGGCAGAAGATTATGGATGAAAGAAAGCTGCAGAAGCCAAATTAGACATGTATATTGCCAACAAAAAAGGGGGAGATATATAAATTAAAAAGGAGAACATAAACAAAGAATATACAAATTTCTTTCGTTTTTTTTTATTCTTCCATTTTTTCTTTCTTTCTTTTACTCTTTCTTTCTATTTCTGTCATTCTTTTTTCTGTCGTCTCTTTCTTTATTTCTTTCTTTCTTTCTCGCATCCTATTCTCTTTCTTTCTTTTTTTTCTTTCTTTCTTTCTTTCTTTCTTTCTTTCTTCTGTCTTTCTTTTTTCTTTTTCTTTTCGTTCTTTCTTTCTTTTTCTTTCTTTCTTTTACTTTCTTCCTCGGTGTTTGTCTTTCTTCCATTTTCTTTCTTTCTGCCTATATTTTTTCTTTCTTCTTTCGTTCTTTCTTTTTCTTTCTTTCTTTCTTTCTTTCTTTCTTTCTTTTACTTTCTTTCTTTCTGGCTTTTTTTCTTTCTTTTATTTTCTTTCTTTTTTTCTTTTTATTCTATTTTCTTTCTTTCCCCTCCTTTTCTTTCTCTTTATTCTTTTTTTCTTTCTTTCTTTTCTTTCTTTCTTTTTTCTTTCTTTCTTTCTTTCTTTCTTTCTTTCTTTCTTTCTTTCAGAAATTAAAAAAGTAACGTACTTAAAGAATAAGCAAATTTTCTGTCTGATTTTCTTGAATGGGTAGTTATCATTTTATTGTTCTCATCCTTACGGCAATGGTACCCTCCGTCCTGTCGATCTTTCTAAACTACAGAGAATTCTGAACTGAACCCTTTTATTCAGTATACGGTGAGGGGTAGACTTTTCTGGTTCCTCTGCGTAGATCTAGGGATATCTCGTCTAGATCTTCTCTTTTAGTACTGCTCAAATTTTTCTCGCCCGTCTCCACAGAGCTTTAGAACACAGTGTCTGGCCCAGGGATTGAACTCACAATTACTCTCACCAAATTTCCGATTCAATACTTTAATCGACTTGCACAATGCTTCGTAAGATAGATAGATAGATAGATAGATAGATAGATAGATATTACCAGACTGAGCTAGCTAGCTAGATAGACATGAACCGACTGAGACAGGCAGATAGATAGATAACATGAGTAGAATGAGATAGATAGATAGATAATATTTGTTTTATGTACAATTACACACAGCTGGGCCCAGGGATTGAACTCACAATCACGATATCACCAATGTCCCGAAACCAAGTATTAGTCCACGAGCCTATTGTCGCATAGAAGATTTTCCTTCTTTCTTTCTTTTCTTTCTTTCTTTATTTATTGATAAAGAGAATCAAAGGAAGAACGAAAATTATGCTTAACGAGAAATACTGGCCGAAAAGAATTGAATGCGTTAAGAATGAAAGAAAGAAAGAAAGAAAGAAAGAAAGAAAGAAAAGTAACTGAGCAATGAATAATTGAAAAAATCTAGAAAGACAGTAATTAGAAAATAATGCTAAGTTGATAAACGAAAAAGAGAAAGTTTATTTGTCGACCGACGGTAAAAAGTAAAGAAAGAAAGAAGAGATTTTTGAAAGACAGTAAAGAACAAAAGAAAGGATTTATTTGATAAAAGAAAAAATTTAAAAAATGGAAAATGAAAGAATGACACGAAATGAATAAGGTTTGTGAAGAAGAACTAACTGAATGGCTTCAATAGAAAGAGAAAATTAAATTAAATAAAAGTATAAATGAAAATAAATGAATGAATTTTGTGGGAAGAGAAGAAAAACAAAGAGAATGAATGTGAAAGAAAAGAAGAATTGGGAAAAAAAAACACAGAAAAAGCGATTAAGAATGAAATGTACCGAAATGAATAACTTGAGCCAATTGGCGAACTCGAAAACAAAGATGGCCACAAAAACAAAAGCGTGAAGGAAAGGAATTTTAAACAGGAACCAGGCAGATTGATGAAAAAAAAAATGCAGTAAATTGTAGAAAAAGAAATTAGCTAAAAAGTATGAATAAAATACAGAGAGATATAATAATTGCAAGAAAAGAGAAAAGGCGAAGGCAGATATTGGTAGGAGATAAATATTTAGTGGAGTAATGCCCTCGGGAAAGCCAGAGACATCCAGATTGACATGCAGACGGACAGCCAGCCAGACAGAGACTAAAGCGATAGACAAACACTATAGACTGGTTGAGAGTCAGATAAAACGATATACGAAAAAAAAAACCAAAAAACAGTGAATAAAAGAAATAGAAGTTGGTAAATCGCGAAAATTTAAAAGAATTACAGGTAAGGAAATGTCTGAGACAGAAAGAGAAAATCCTGCAACGGATTGGGAAGGCATTTAAAAAGAAAAACAAACGGGCCGGTAATATATATATAAAAAATAATGATAGAAAATTTTGCAAGTGGAATCAGAATGTAAACACTGGAATAAAAATAAATAGATCTAGGAAAAAAATGAACAAATAAAGGGTTAGTGCAGCAAGGGATGGAAAAGGTGGAATATGAAAGTCTTTGCATTCATGTCGAGGCTGCGGGGAGAGTTCGCTAAAAATCAGAGGAAATAAGAGAGCATAAAAAGAGTGTTAAAAGAAGGAATTTTGCATAGAATTCTTGAAGAATAGAGAGAAGATGTGAAGGAAAAAATCAGAGAGGATGGAAGAATATTAGAAGAAGAGAGGAAGCGGGAGAAGAAGAAAGAGAAAAAGCAAAGAAGAGAGGAGAAGGAGGATGGGAGGAGTGATGGAGGAAGAAAATAATAATGAGAAAGAGAGGAAGAAAGAAGGGAAGAATAATGCGGGATACTTAACAATAACAGTAATAATAAATAAAAAAAACAATAACATAAACAAACTGAAAGAAATTGGCGAGACTATATATGGAACGGCTAAAAAAATTAGATTAAATTTAAAAGTCAGCATGTATGCCCTGTTCTCAAAGAACACATTTTTATTTCAACTTAATAGTTTTCTAATGTTCATTTTAAAGTTATTCCGTACAGTATAAGTTTTTTTCGGAATGTATCAATTGAAAAAAAAGGCAAATTAAATTTAGCCCATTTTAAGTCGGCGAGAATCAAAGAAAATTACTACTTCACGTTGAAAATTTGGGGTGAGGAGTAACACTGGGGTAGTGTCGAGGAAATAGGGTATCATTCAACTATTCCAATCTCTAACATCACTGACTTGATTGCCAGAATATAAAACATTAAGAAAAGGAAAGGGGGCAATAAACAAACATATCAAAGGCTTTCTACTCACTCTTTTTTCTTACATGACTGGATTTTTTTTAAATAAATGTTTATTTTTATAAAATTATTACTATTATTATTAAATTACCAACGTGCATTTTTTTAAAAAAAATTATCATGGGCAGAGTTATTTTCAAATTATATATTTTAGTTGGAATAAATCAGTCATTTTTGCATCTAAGTTATACCAATAGTATCTTTTCTTAAAGATTTTAATGAGCCCGATAAATATTGATGACCAAGAGTCGCCACTGATATATATATATATATATATATATATATATATATATATATATATTTTGAAGGTCAGAAAGTTCTTAGTGATGAAGACATATACCAAATGATTTTACTTATCTCTCTCTCTCTCTCTCTACACACACACACACACACAAATATATATATATATATATATATATATATATATATATATATATATATATATATATATATATATGTTTCAGGCGCTGCCGCTTGGAATACGTGCCCTAATATTTGAAATAAATTTCTAAGAAAAAAAAAATCATTCTAATACAACACGTTCACCATGCATCCACTTATTATTTACATTAACCACTCGTCCGATTTTGTTTGTGTGTCAATGGCATACTAGTTAAGAGCAGAAAGTATCCCGCTGCTGCTAGTAAACAGACCACGTTTAAGCTCGTGGCTCGGCTCCACAAAGGTTTATAGTCTTGGAAATACTTGTAACAGCAAAGTACTGAGGTTACATCATATAAAAGTTTGAATTAGATAGCTAATATGACTCAACATACGTATCCATGTCCCTATCAATCAAGCCAATTACGTGACCGTCCAAGCTTGCTTGAGCCTGGCGTTGCCTTGCATACGTCTTGGAAGACGCACACGTAATTTTCAGGGAATTTTTTAGGAATAAAAAGTACCACTTTTAAGCTGGAAGATACGGTATATATATATATATATATATATATATATATATATATATATATATATATATATATATAGTGTGTGTGTGCGTTTGAGTAGCAATCCCTCTTTTATACTACGACTAACTGAGATTAAGCTTTTTATTTAGTCCGCATGAGTTTTTTTTTTCTGGACATGAAGTATGCGAAGAACTGTTCAAATGTTCTCTCTAACATTATCAAGTATTTTTTTAAAACTGAATATGTAGATTTTTATATATGAGATAACAATATATATATATATATGTGTGTGTGTGTGTGCGTGCGTGCGTGTGTGTGTGTGTGTGTGTGATGTGATTTTACCGATTACGCCACAGAGGATCGATGTATATATATATATATATATATATAATTATTTATTTACAAATATGATTCCAACACGCTACATAAGAGGTCTCATGTTTCAAAACAAGGGCCGAAAACTTCAATATAATTATTTGAATTACATTGAATTAAAGTAAGCTCTGTTCCATCTTCAAGCGAAATTTTTTTTTGGAATAACTTATTTCTGAAATTTACGTGTTTTAATAGCATATTCTTTATTGAAATCAAAATTTCCATGGTAACGGCCATTGCATTTTTGCAGTGAATAATTAGCATAAAAACAAATAAACAATAAAATAATTTTTATAATCCATAGCCGTAATAAATAGTTTAAATACACTACAAAAAAAGATAACCCTTTATGAAGTCGTCAAAAAACAAATGTTACGGCAGTTTTTTTTATATACACAAAACCTTTTCAGAAAGAAATAAAATAAAAAATTAAATAAATTTCCATAGACACGTAAACCAGACTAGGCGACATCATCTTCCGTTTTAAATTCAGACACCCCAACCTTACCCTGACTTGACATCTATGAATGTAACTCTATAATGATACAAATTATTAACACCATACACCCCTTCCTATTTAAACAATCGCTCTGGCCGTTACCATGGAAATTTTGATTTCAATAATGAATATGCTATTAAAACACGTAAATTTCAGAAATAAGTTATTCCAAAAAAAATTTCGCTTGAAGATGGAATAGAGCTTACTTTAATTCAATTTAATTCAAATAATTATATTGAAGTTTTCGGCTCTTGTTTTGAAACATGAGATCTCTTATGTAGCGTTTTGGAATCATAATTTTAAATGAATAATTATATTTATGCTCTATTTTGTATCGAGCACTATTTTTAAAAAAATAATAACAAAAATATTAAAGAACTTTGGATTATTTACCTAACGAGTTCTTTCCTATTTTTATATATTTCAAAACACACACACACACACACACACACACACACACACACACACACATATATATATATATATATATATATATATATATATATATATATATAGGAAGAGTCCACGTGTCCTTCTTTGTAGTATTTAAAATTGATAGGTTGGTTAATAAAACAATGAAGAACAAAAAAAGGTACCAATGTGACTTATTTTTACGGTTCAATAACCACAAGATGAGCATCAGGGACAACAAAAC